TCGATGGTGAGGTCAATGTGATCTAGGTTGAGGCTGAGAGAGACGATGTCTTCAATGTTTTGAGAGTTAAAGAGAGTGGCGGAACATTTCTATATTAAAGAGTTATTAAAATATTAGTGGGGTCATTTGTTTATTTTTTAATAAATATGTATGAGGGAAAGTAAGGAGGGAAAAGTAAACCGTTCCAATATACTTTTATTTTATCAAACTGCTCCCACAGGTAACTCTATCGTATCGCCTTTACAAACTGTCTCCATATATTTACTTATGGTAACGTTATTATACTATTGGAATGGTTATTCTTCAGAAGTGTTCCAAAAGCCTATTGACACTATTGGGATGGTTAAAACCGTTCCAATATATGATCTATTGTAATAGTTACAAAACCGTTGCACAATAACCGTTCCAATAAAATTATTTTCTAGTAGTGTACCGAATAACTAGAACATAACACACTTGAAGCGATACTACTGCTAAGGTACGACCCCATTCATTTCCTTTTTACTTCTTTTTGAACTAACACTTGCAGGCAACCAACAAGAAGCGGTACAGATTTTTAGGTCTGAAAGCACGTGTTACACTCTTTTTTCCTTGAACCGGTTTTGTCCCAAATGGGTTTTCCGCCAAGGTTTTTAACGAGGCAACATTGGATCGTGCTAACTTAGAATTGAAGGCCGGCCATGAATCGGTGTTAAGGATCGCATCAACAGTATCCGAGGCTTCTCTCTATAATCAACCTCGAATACTGGGGGGCATTACCCTTGGATATCGGCTTTAGCAAGGAAAGAAACTTCGTGATGGAAGGGTCTCGATAGAAGGATTTATTGTAAGGTCCAAACGGTCAAATGAACCCTTGCACGTATAGATTGCTCGATCCCTAGCACAAAGCATGTACACATGTATAACTATTTTACACAAAAAGTCTTCCCCTTGCGGATAAATATTTTGTCCTTTTAAAATATTTTTTGCATTTCTCAAGGAATTTCCTACATCTGATCCCCTAAAGGTATCGAGCCCAAGGGCCACCTTAATCCGAGTTCGAACAATCACTCTCACTCGGGGACTACCGTCCAAAAACAAACTCAGATGGTCCGGGCAATCGGAGCTCGGGGATATAAGACCTATCAGGAAACGCCCGAATCTTAAAGGCCACAACCATCTCCACTCGGGGACAGTTATCCTAGGCAAGCCCGATAACTCGGGGCAACACCCGAACTAAAAGGTCCATGGCCAAATTAAAATGGCTCGGAGACATCCGAGGACCCGTAACTGAGACAACAAGGCCTTATACCTCGGTAGACTATGACTTAAAAAAGTCTTAAGTACTTTGGGGGGAAAAAACTATCGGTCACATCGAACCCCCACGATGCCTTAAAACGACATAAAGTTGAAGGCAAGGTTTCTTCAAGTCTCTGAACAAAACCCATCTATTTCATGCTAAGGCATTTAGATCTTTGAAAATAAAAATAAATAAGGCAAAGAGAAAATTCAAAAGCTGTTGAAGGAAAAGAGCCTTATATTCATAATCGAAAGTTTCCTTTTACAAGGGCCAAACGGCCCGATGAAAATTTTTACAAAGGCCAAACGGCCTCAATAAAAATGCAAAAAATAAAAACATCTAAAGGCCTAAGTAGCCTGGTCCTCGTCGGGGGCAACGTCTTCACCCTCGGGATCTCCTCAATCTTCGGACTCACTTAACCCTCAGAGTCATTATCATCCTCGGGATAAGCCAACTTTCTAGCCTCAGCTTCGAACTCCTTGGCGTTCTCGATTTCGGCCGATAAGTGGAAACCTCGAGCATGAAGCCTCCCTTCGGGATTGCCGCTTTGCAAGTTCGAAGAGATCCTTTGCTCGAACTTGGGCCGCTTCGGATCGGCCTTGTAAACCTCCAACATCTCCTCGTCATCAGCCTTGACCACCTTGGCCTCCGACCTGGCCATCTCAAGCTCCTTGGTCAGATTTTCTCGATCGTAGACGGCCGAATTAAGCAGTGACCAAAGTTCCTTGATCTTTTTGGCCAACATCGAAGCCTTTTCCTTTATATTTCGGAGCTGGAACTCAGCCGAAGCTAGTTGTGCCCGGGCAAACTATTTTTTCGAGGCCAAGCGGTCCATGTTGCCTTTCCACTCTTCGGCCTCAGCCTTCACCGTATCTACCTATACCCGGAGGTGCTCGACCCGACGTTAGTCACCATGTCTGATTTGTCGTCACTAACTTTAAAAATTCTTCTTACCTTCTCAACCAGGTCGGCATGCTCTTTCCGAGCCACTTCTAGCTCAGCCGGGAGGCTCTTAGCCTCCCCTTTACTTTGCTCACTGAGTAGTTTTTAAGTTCTCTTTTCTTAGTGAGCCCTCGGATCTCGGCCTCGTACTGGTTCATTTCTTCCCAGTATCAGAGGAACGTCTCATAATGAGGTACCGAAGCCTACAAACACGGAGAAAGGAGTTGTGATCACCTACAAAAAAATCTAAGTACACACTGAAATTATTAAGAGGTATCTTAGTTACCCGATTTAATGCTTGTTGGGCTTCATTGAACAAGTAGGGCACTTCCACCTCGTTCATTTTGGCTTGATCCTCCTCGGTCACCAAGCACCGAAGGTAACTGGCCACCCTCACGAGGGCAGAAAGAACCCGGGCATGTTCTAGAATGGACATAATGATTGACCGCTTCCGCTCAGGACTCATACTCGGTGCTGGGAACCGGTTGACTAGTTTCGGGCTCGAGGAAGGTGCACTCGTCCCCGATGATGGACTCTTCCTCGGCACCAGTAAATCACCCTTCCCGGTGACGTCCTCCGTAGCGGTAGAGTCTAGGCTATCAAAAAAGTTTTGAAAGGGGTCTACCTTCCCTTGTGGCTCTTCGTTGGGTCATCCTTTTAACGTCTGAGCCTCGATAAACATAGACTCAGTAAATAAAGGCGAACCGGAGAGGTCTATCACTCCGAGTACGCCCTTCGGGCACTATCTGCTGTCCGGGAAGAACCGGCTACGACCTCATTATCAGCCCCCCTATCTCCAGGCAAAGTGTCCTCGCCTCCTTCTAGTTCGGAAGCTTCGGCTAAAGCTTCCTCATTGACCTCCCTGAGTCGAGGCAATTCAGTTTCAGCTCTCACAGGTTCGGAGGCCCCTCATACCTTGAGCCTTGACCGCATGCGGGCCACCAGTTCGGAGGCTTCTTCTTCTTCTTCTGACTCATCCCTCAGGCGGTGGAGTGAGTCCGAAGAGGGCGCTCGAGCACTGGTGCTACCCTTAGATTTACGCACCAGACTTCTTTTTGTTCTCTTCTTTTCCGAGCTTGGAGAACTCGGGGCCCTCTTCCTTTTCTTCTCATCACCTGCCTCGAAGCAGGGGACTCGACGGGTACATCCTCGTCACCGAATGGAGGCCTCATGGAAACATCCTTGGATAGACTTACAAAAGAAAACGGAACGAATAAGAACTCAACGACACGAGGAAAAACTCAAGTATTATTAACCCGAAGAGGAAACTTACCATGGGAACGGGCCTCCCACCGGCCCTTCAAAAGTTCGCGCCACGTGCGCTCAGAATAGGGCTTCTGTGACACGATGCCCTCGACCCACTCCTTGATTCGAGGAACTGCATCCGGTATCCGAGCAACAACTGCACCACAAAACATCGATAAGAAGGGAGGGAAAGGAAAAGCAATAAACGAAATCTTAAAGGCCAGGTTATACTTACGTTTCATGTTCCATTTCTCGAGAAATGGCATGTCCTCGGCCGCTGGTTCCTCGCCGGCCAGCCGTGATGAAAAGGCAGTTTCTTTTTGTGGAACTGTCTTAGAAGTCTTCGCCATTTTTTATTTTAAATAAAGATGAAGAAGAGGAAGTTAAAAGGTTACGCTTAATGGTTTGGAGTGAAGACAAGAGAGAGTTCTTGCAAAAACCTCAAGAAATCTGGGTACAAGTGTTAGAGAGTGCAAAGATTTTTGAAGAACAAGAGTAGAAGAGGTTTAGATGTAAAGTTTGAATGAATGAAGGATGGAGTATTTATAGTTTTCAAACGATGGTTCAAAGTCTGTAGCGGCCGACCAGCGACTGACGAACATTTAGTGACATTAAGACGTGACTGACGAGACGTTTCGTCCATTTTTGTCGTTTCTGACGCAAAGTATCGAGATGAGGATTGGGGGCTCATTTCGTTTCTCATCGTTTACACTCCGAAAAACGAGGGGAGTATCTGTATACGGTTGAAATCGGGCTCATCTATTGTATGACAGATCGGGATTAAAACGTAATAAATTGAAGATCGACCTCGGGTTCCATCGAGCCAGGATACGATGTTAGAAAACCCGTCTTCGAGGTTACCGAGTCCATGACCCCAGAATCAACCCCGATTCCGAATGAGCCTGAGGTAACATTGTCGGACCAGATAACGGAAGACCGAAATATCCGTAACCGATCGGATATCACGGCGGGAATCTCGGCATGTATCAATGAGGAACCGGTTAATAAGCAAATCATGAGATTTTTACCTTTTATAGAATTGCACCTAAAGTAGGATTCCCCTATTATATAAAGGGGTGTGATTATTTGCAAGACAGATTGTAACAGGCATCCCAAAGCAATATACTGTTATTACTAGTTCTTATTATCTCATCATTCTTTTCCGATATCGATTAAGGCATTTTTGATTTGAGGTGACCAACCTTCAAGGCCAAGATTGTTCAACTTGTGTGGTTTGCATTTATTTTTCTATCCTTAATTTCAATATTAATTTGATTTCTCAATTTGTATCGAGTTAGATCATGTATCTTTAAAACCGCGTATAAATTCAATTGTTATCCGATTTTGAGGGTTAAACACTATCGATGCTCGTCAAGGCCTATGGCTTGTGACAAGGGGTAGTGGGTGTTGTTGTTCTCCTTGAAATATTTGTTTTTCTGGGTCATCTAAATATTGGTTCTTGGAATCCATTTTCGAGTCAGGTGAGAATGTACAGTATTAAAAAGTAATGAAACAGTTGAAGAAGACTGGAAGATGATGATGAAAAGGGATGGGCTTTTTGCCCGTCCAAATGAGTCTTGGATTGAAGATCCTTCACAAAATGTTAAGAGCAAATCAAAGTTCTTGACTCTTTTAGGATGTCAAACATCATGAGAGAAAATCAAGAAACACTGTGCTCCAAAATGCAAAACGACGGTTTTCAACCAAAAGAAGCTTTGTCAAATTCCTAAAACAGGAGATATTGTCTCCACGAATTTTCAGCCTTTCATGAATGAATTTACAAAAACTACAACTGAGATCAGGAGATATTGTCTCTACTAATTTTCCTATTTCCTAATCATCCTAGACGTGGGGCATAACCACTATCATCTGTTCATCTTGCTACGCACCATGTTGATCACTAGCTAGTATTACTAGAAATAGGGGCAACGTTATTACTGCAAGACAAGTCAATGTTTCCTAGCTTTTCTGGTTGGCTGATTCTGTTGCTTTCTCAGAATGCATTTGTTTTCATTTCTCCTTTTTTGTCAGTCAGTTCCAATTTTGTACAACTGCAGACCAATATCAGACAGAGAAAAAGAATCAGGATTCATATATTCATAGAGGACTGTGAAAGCAATGAATCCATCTCGGAGATATTCATGTAGGATGAAAATCTTATCAATTATAGGAACCCCACAATAATTGGATATAAAGCAGTGTATACAGGACTATAATTCTATAAAGTCAAGAGATCTTTTTGTAAACCAAGGTGAACAAAAACAACCTTTAATTTAATGATCTTCTAAATGATTATCGAAGTGGATGTTGATATGTAGGATTTGTGAAGGCAGTAAGGAATTTATTTAGCTATTTCTAACATCGGCCAGTGCCTTAATAAATTACAGAGGAAAAGAAATGCAGATTTCAATCAAGAAAGCAGGACATAAGATTTCATAGGATCAAAGATATGATCTTGACAATCCTGTCAAAAAGTCGAATTAAATTGACAAAATTCTTCACGTACATCAGTCACGAGCTCTAATACCAGCCATTAAGTAACTGGCGTGTTATGGTGAATAAACTGACTTAAATCTCTGTTTTGCTTGCGTACAGGTGAGTCCCGATATTTTGTGTAAGACAATTGAATAGCTGAACCCCACGTCAATACTGCAGTTTGCAGAATAATCCACGGCAAGAAACCTTCATATTTAATCATTTACCTACTACCCCCTTAAGCAATAATGACACCAAGATAAAGTTTTCGACTCCTGTCCCTGTTTTCCCATATTCGGTAATGTTTTGCAACGAGCTTACTAAGCTAGTATTTGGCCATAAATTCCTAAAATCGTTTTTAAAAAATCTGTTTTTGGTAAGGTTTGGTTTGAAGATGAAAATGTGTTTGGACATCAGTTTTCAAAACATATTTCCCAAATTTATTTTGGAAAAACATGAAACATGACTTATACCCACAAGTTCTAAAAACTATTACAAATACTCAACATTACCATTATCAATAACATTCATTATATTATCGCAAACCGTAATCCTAAACATAAATAAATTTGGTCGAATTATTATTTTTATAATGAACTACATGATACAGTATCAGATGACCGAGAAGATGAAGCAACATTGTTACAAAATAATAAATGGTGAGCTCTTTTATAAAGTACAAAAGTTTGGGGCAATTTTTTTAAAAAAAGTAATAGTTATATTTTGGCCCATATTGAGCTGGTTTTAGGATTTGGGATTTTTTTCAAAATGTAGCCAAAATCTATGGCCAAACATGTGTTTGCTAAATAAAATCCAAATTTATTTTAGCAAAATCTATGGCCAAACGTGTGTTTGCTAAATAAAATCCAAATTTATCTATGGCCAAACGGGTCCTAAATATATACTAATATCCGCGTTAACGCAATGTTCATCGAACCCTCTTCTCTAGTTAATGCTATGGGAATAAGATGTCTCCATTGTAGGAGTAATAGGCTAATAGCTTAAACTTTTACAATACTTTCTAATAACGTAATATTTGGGATCGAAGCGCACATACGTGATTGTTTAACTCGAAGCAACATAGTATGTACAAATAAACAAAGAAAGGAGAAATGATTCAGCATAAAATTTTACAATTTGAATAAAGAAACATATTAACAAAAGATTCACTAGTGCTATAGAGTAACTAAGAGGTAGTACTCACCTTTCCACATTGTATGAAGCCGATCTCTTTAGAGCAGGAATTTTCTCCTTCTTTATCTCTATTAAACTCCCACTAAAGTACTCTTTATCCTCCAGCTGAATTATCTCTTCACTTTCATGATATTCCACCATTGGACTCTCTACATCCTTCTCCACTTGATTGGAGCCTCTGACACGTGGCAGCCGCGATTTATGTTGTGAAATTATGGAAAAACGATTTTCTTTCCCATAACCGGGCCCACACTTGAAAGACATGGAACCCCAAGATAGTAATTGCTTCAGCATGGAAGATGCTTTACTACTCTTTCCGCTTGATTGAATATTAACCGTCGGATCTTCGCTGATTGTATCTGGCCGTAAGATCACTCTCCCGTCTGCTCTCATCAACGTCTCTAGCGTTTCAGAGCTTGAATCCGACTGTGGTGGTGAAATTTCACCTCTGTTCAGCTCTATCGACCGTTTTTGATTCTTTTCATCCACGTCCGGTTCAACGGTCCGGTCTTCTCTCAACTCTTCTTCTTCTTCTTCGACAATTCGCATTGCTCTTCGCCGGCGGCGACGATCGTCTGTCTGAGTCGACGCGTCGCTGGCGGCTCTTCCGATCAATTCGTCGGTAGACTCTGCCTTGTACACTCTGTATTCGTGGAAATCGGAGGAAGTCCAGGACTGGTTCCGGCGCCTTGGGATTACCGGGAACTCATGATCTTTACTGATTTTCCGTACTTCCGGTACCGGATTTCTCAAACCAGAACATGCAATTTCGTCGGGTTGTGAATGCAATGCGCTATCGAGAAGCTGTGATCCTTTCAGAATGTACTCTTGACCCTGTGCTGGGTATATAAAATCGTGCTCCGTCAAATCCTGCCACACGAATCCGTTTCTGTAGCTTCTGAATCGCCCAAAAAAGCAAGACGAAATTCATTTCAGCGTTATGAATGAAAATGGCGGTAACAGAAATAGAAATGGAATAATGAAAAATGATTCACCTTTTAGCAGACCAGGAATACATAGAGGCCATGCCTTTTCCACGAAGACAATTCAAGCGGTTGATCACATCTAAATGAAAGGTCAACAAAAAAAAAAGTTTAGAACATCTGAAATCACATGGACAGACGCTATGTGAATTATGTTAGCTATGGAAATATTCGTACCTCTGAGATAAAGACCATGAGGAGAGGAAAGAGGAACTTCCATGAAATGGGGATGTTCAAGTTGGCCATTTCTGGAGATATAGTAAACAACTGGTACTTTGCGGTCAGATTTGAGCTTATGGTTAGAAGGTTCAGTCCAAACTTTAGTGCGTTCAGGACTGATTTCTCTATCTTTCCATTTCTTGTGCATTTGGAGCTCCGTCCTTCTCGACATCACCGACATTGTGACTTTCTAATCGCTTAGTTCCAGATACGTAGAAGAAATGGAATTATCCCTTAAATATATATAATTATGAAGAAATTTTAGGCACAGTAGTATGAATACAATGTTTCCCGAGGTTCAAAGTGTGGAGTTCTGTGCAGAAACTGTAGAGAGTGATGGTGGGGGATTCACGTTTATAAGGTGAGATGTGGGCGTCTAATTTGGACGGTGGGAAGGAGCGAGGGAGCAGATATTCAAAAATAGGACGCGGCAGACAACAGCAGCTACATGACAAATTTCGCCAACTTGGTTAATTAACTCGACTTTTTATCACTTATCTGGCATTCAATTCAATTTGTTCTACGAATTTAACTTCTATGTATTAAATGGGTAAAGGTTATTTAAATTAGTTGAAAAAAAGAGAGCATTATGCCAAGACAATCAACTACCTTTTAATTATGACGATTGAGAAATGCCCGTTCTAAACGTAAAATTAGGTCTAATGTCTTTGCAAGAATTAGTTGATCAAAACGATGTTATAACAGAAGGGCGTATGAAAGCCTAAAAAGGAAAAAAAATTAAAGCTCATCCCTCCTTGTCAGTTGTGCCTTTTAGTTGATCAAAACTATGTTGTTCTCTTTTGGAAGAGACGAGTAGTTGAACAAAATGAAAGAAAGGAAAATCAGCTAGGTAGCAATACGTCACGAGAGCTCGACACAGGTTTTAAAGTCTTTTAATTTAATGTACTTTTCTTCTTTGATTTTATAAGAGTATAACCGACCTAGAATCAGGGGTGGATCCGGTAATTAAGGTGTGGGTTCATTTGAACTCATAGCTTTTGGTTTAGATAGGGGTTTATCTAAATAAAACCCATTAAAGTTGTTGAAAATATTAAACTACAAACCCATGACTCCTACTCAAATAAGATAATAGGTTCAGCAATTGAAACATGAGTCCTGAACTCATAAAATTAAAATTTTGGATCCCATTCTGACTTGAATAAAAGGAAATTACCTAGGTAGAATAAGTATATTGTGAGACCTTGAATATTAAACGAAAAGTTGGAGGCTCGGAGCTGATGAGAAAGCAGGGAGGTCAAATGTTCACACGACTTATTTTTAGTTTTTGGAATAAATTGAGAATCCGTCAAAGCGAGTTGACTTGGAATTGTTTCTTACATCAACGCACATTGACTGAATCTTCCTTGATCACGTTTTATAAATTATACGACTTCCCGTCCACACTAAAGAGACCCACGCTTCTCTTTTTTTTTTTTTTTTTTTTTTTTTTTTTTTTTTTTTTTTTTTTTTTTTTTTTTCTTTCTTTTTNCTTTTTTCTTTTTTTTCCTTTTTCTTTCTTCCTGAAATAACTATCCTGCTACTACTGCCCCTTTCGTTCGTACAATCTCAAATCAATATATATCCAAAAATGAAGTTATTAGTCAAATTACAAAACCACCCAGATTGCACGAATGGAATCCTGAGTAGATGGGTTAAGAGTTAAGACACGAGATAATTTACAATTTGACGTGTCCATATCTTTAGCAAAATGCGATCTTTTTCTAATTTGTGCAAAACATAAATGTCTATTTCTCTGTAGCACTGTTTTAAAAGGTGTAGGCTTAAGGTGAGTCGTTTTACATATGCCTCAGCGAGGCTGTATGGGTCAAAATCAAATTAGAGAAATTCAACATGCGGAGAGATAATTGTCATGAGTAACCTACAAATCGAATTGTGCCATCTGGCCGTGGTCGAGCAGTGATCATCAACAAGACCGAGGTCGAGCAGTGATCAACAACAAGGCCGAGGTCGAGCAATACAGATAGAAGTAACGGCTAATTTTGCTTTGGAATCTTCAGAGGTATTCTACTGGATATTCTCTCTAATTATTCTGTTTAGGGCTCTTTGGGACATCCCATATAAAGAGTATGAGAGACAAGGGAAAAGAGGGGACTAGAACAGAGAAGATCTGAAAAAGCAGACTCTCTCTCTCTCTAGAAAAAATACAAACACATCTCTCTAAAGAGATTAGATTATCTATTATCCCACATTCACCATCAGATCCGAAAAGGGCCCTAAGATTCTTGTATTTGTCTATCATTCATCTTTATCAAATGAAAGAGGATCCGCCTCACTCAAGATTTGGTGAATCTTCTCCTTTATTTATATTTTGTTGTCATTTAATGTTATTTAATGCATGGTCTTTTTCATACTATTTGATTCGTCCATAACTACTGCCAGCATTTGTACTCAACTATATTTTTCTATTCATGTTATCCATCTTAGATCTAGAATTAATTATCCTTAACTAGGATTTACCCTCTATCTTCTTATTCAATTAGTTTAACAAAAGGTCTCATACTTTTTGGTGAAATAATTTGGCACCGTTTGTGGGGATTTGGCGCCGTCACTAAAATTCATTTCTTACCCATTTTCTCTTTCTCTATAATACATAGCCCATATATATGTAGTGATGAACATGAAAGTTTAGGGATCTGCTGCTAGGGATACACTTTGCTCTTATTACCTCAAATTTTGTTGGATTATGAGATGAGAGTATACACTCTTGAATGTAGCTGTTAGAAAAGAGATTGTTATCTTTCTACACCATCAGCTTTGGTATTTGTTGTACTGCAAACACGAACATGAATCATCTCACTGTTGAAACTGAAGATACTTTTGCTAGCTTGCTTGAATTTGCAGCCAACAACGATATAGAGGCATTTAAAAGTTGGATGGAGCGTGATATATCTGGTATTCATGAGATTGGGTCGTGATTGCGGGTCTAAATCTAGCACTCAAGTACGGAGCAAAACGAGTCATCCTACGGTGCGACTCTCAGCTCGTTGACAATCAAGTCACAGGGACTTTCCAAATCAAGGAACAAAGACTGCGAAAATATCAGGCCAAGATCTGCAAGCTGTTACCCGAGTTCGATGAATGCCAGCTCGACCAAATCTCTCGAGCACAGAATATCGAAGCAGACAGACTTGCCAAACTGGTAGCGGCCACTAAAAGCATAACCAGAGAAGAGAACGTGGTCACTCCCCTCCACTCGTCGACTGATCAAATCGAGGTAACGAACGATTTCATTTGGTTTTGACTGATTATTTTTCTAAGTGGGATAGAAGCAAGAGCATTCTCCTAGATACGCGAACAGGGAACGATCGCCGTCATATAAAAAAATATGGTGTGACGCTTCGGCCTCCCCAAAAAGATCAGTTGCGACAACGGACCCCAACTCATCAAGAAAGAGGTCGCCAAATTCTCCGAGGAGTAGCATATCACAAGAATACTCTCCACGCCGTACCGCCCAGCAGGCAACGAGCAAGCGGAATCCTCGAATAAATCGATACTGAACATCATGAAGAAAAAAAAATCCGAAGACGCCCAGAGACCATATAGACTGGGACAGGATTGCCAGCCCAGAAAACATGTAAATCTCTCCGATATATGTAGGCAAAGCATGAGTGCATGAAGCTCACCCGAATTTTCGCCAAAGCGACGCTGCATCAATTAAACAAGTTATATTCGACCTTGTTCGAAGTAACTATGGGTTACATTCGACCTTGCTCGAATTAACATCTGACCTCGCTCGAATTAACCAACATTCGACCTCGCTCGAATTAACTCATATTCGACCTCGCTCGGATTAACTCACATTCGACCTCGCTCATATTAACTCACATTCGACCTCGCTCGAATTAACTTATATTCGACCTCGCTCGAATTAACTCACATTCGACCTCGCTCGAATTAACCAACATTCGACCTCGCTCGAATTCACATTCGACCTCGTCAAATTCACTTTCGACCTCGCTCGAATTAACATTCGACCTCACTTGAAATACATTCGACCTCGCTCAAATTAACCAACATTCGACCTCGCTCGAATTTACTCACATTTGACCTCGCTCGAATTTACATTTCGACCTCGCTCGAATTAACTCACATTCGACCTCGCTCGAATTTACATTCGACCTTGCTCGAATTAACCCGCATTCGACCTCGCTCGAAGTAATTAACACTCGATCACGTTCGAATTAACGCATACCAACGATTCCTTTAAAACCATTTTTTTCGAGGAAAACGTTTAAGAAAAAGAAAAATAGAATCAGAAATAAGCAGCAAAAATAGCATTCCAAATCAAAAGAGGTATCTGAAAAGGCAATTTACAAAGGCCAAATCGCCCGTCCAGATCTGAGGACGCGAATTACCTCCTCCGATGCCACCATCCTTGCCAAAACTGCCATCCTGGCCTCATTGCCCTTCTCCAACTCTACCGTCTTCTCGATCAACTCATCACTCGAGTCATTGGCCCTGGTCGAACTCTGCTCAAATTTAGCACGCAGGGATACCACTTGGACCTGAAGATCGACACCCTCAGCCGCAAGCCTCACATGGGTGATATGAATTCATGCTTATTATGGGAAAAGGAAGAATTTTATGGAAGCAACACCAAAATAGGCTTCATGAGTTGTACAAAAAGTTCTAAATGCTAAGAAATACTTCAATGAGGCTGGTTATCATATAGAAGATATCATGAGGATGCAGAGGTTCTCTATAAAACAAGTTCATCAAAAACTAAGAGGAGAATTCCCTAAAATTACTTGGAGGAAGTTGGTATGCAATAGCCTGGCTATATTGGAAAAGTTATATACAAAAGATAGATTAGTGAGGTGAGGGGTGAATATTAATCCACTCTGTCCTGTGTGTGAGGCTGAAGAAGAAAGTGTATCACACTTATTTTTTGATTGTAAAGTCTCAAAGCAGGTCTGGAAGAAGTTGCTAGGGTGGCAAGGCATTATTAGAGATCCTATGACTTGGAAGCCGAAGTATATTGGGTAGAGGGACTAGCTAGGGGAAAATCTTCTGGTGCAGAAGTTTATAGGATTACACTAGCAACTGCAGTACATTATATATAGCGAGAGATGAATAAGTAGGTGTTCCAAGCAATAAATCAGAGCACCACATCTATTGTCAAGCAGATTGTTCAAGAGGTCCACTATCGTGGGGCTATGAAGAGGAAGCTTAGTGCATGGCCGGAGGAACTCAATTTCTATCCTATATAAATAGGTTCACATCTGAATAGCTTATAGGTTATTTTGTTTCCAAAGTTTGCGAGATTGCTGCCGGGGCTTGTTGTCCAGTAATTGTCTCTTTTCTATACATACACTACAAATTTGGTAATAGAATTTTATTTACCAAAAAAAAATAACTCTGTACATTAGTATATACTATTTCATATAGTCACATATTTTATCTGTTCTAGTTTATGTGGCACTCGTTTCTTTTTAGATTGTTAAAAAAGTTATATTTGCATATTTGAAACCATTTTAGCTTTAAACTTCCAAATTTACATTAATAGCGTGCGTTTATAGCGATACAAAATGTCAGAGTATGTTTAAGACTAGGCGAAATACTAAACGGCCCCTTGAAGTTATCCTCAACGATCAAATAGACACCTCAACTGACCGCTTTACCATTGAGACACTTTTAGTGGCTATTAAGTATATCTAGAAGACACCTCACATTGACATGGCAAGTTATGTGTATTTTAATTACATTTGGGCGCGTGAAGTTTTATCAGTATTTTTCTTTCTTATATTAGAATTAAATTAAATTAAATTTTGGAAGTGGCTCCCACATTAAATTATTTTTCTCAATAAATAATCTCTCAGCAATAATATTATCCTTTTTCACCCAAAATTTCAGCAGCTCCACCTCTTTAGGCTACCACCGGAACAATGGCCGGAAGTTTGGCCGGAGCCTTCGTTGGTCAATTATTTTTCTCAATATTCCAACTTCACTTTGTTTATTTTGGTCTGATATTTTCAAAGGTTAGAAAAGGAGACAAAGATCAAGGCAGAAAATTAAGGGAGTGATCGTTTTCACCCCACTGTGTTTGACTCCAGTAAGAATGATCAACCGTTCCCGTTAAATCATACAGCCCATGCTCCCCATCTCCACCGCCACCTCCAGTTTGCCAATCCAGTGGAGCGATCTCACTATTGTTTACCCTGTTCTATTGTAACCCAAACTCGACCCGACCCTTTTGATTCATGAAACCCGTATCCATTTGTTCCATCTTCAAGTCATTAACCGGCTGATCTGTTCCCACCATCTTCGCCGGTTGATTCCACTGCTCATTTGAGTTCTGGTTTTATGACAATTAAGTTGAGACAGACTTGAAAGGCTCAATTTCACGTGGGTAGACGCAACTTGACCAACATCGGCTAGGACTACTCAAAGCATTTACTAGGACGAGTACTCTCTCCGTTCCTATTTACGTGAACCTGTTTGACTGGGCACGGAGTTTAAGAAAAAATGAAGACTTTTGAAATTTATGATTCTAAACAAATCAAAAAGGGGCCCTGAGAATTTGTATGGTTATAAAAGTTTCTCTAGGGTAGAATTGTAAGTTTAAACTAAATTATTTCTAAATTTAGAAAGTGATCGTTCTTTTAAATAAGTTCACATAAATTGGAACAGAGACAGTATTAGTTTTGTTTTATAGCACCGCAAGTCGGCAATATGCCCTATTATTTCTACTATGTCCAACTGTTGATTTTCCATGCAAATATGATCTCCATCCTTTGACTTCTTAAATCTTATTTTATGCATCAAAAAGCATAGACAAATATTGATAGACAAACATAAAAATGAAGAAATAACAACAGAGTAGTGTAATTTGTCCTCTGCTCAGCAGCTCCGTGGACCGATTCTGATTCTGTTCAACCTCGTCGGGTTCTTTACTATCCCGTTCATCGGTCCGGTCTTCTTCCAACTCTTGTTCTTCGCTGACCATTCTGGGCGTTCTTCGCCGGCGGGGTTGTGAAGGTATTGCGTCGTTTTCGAGAAGCTTTGATCCTTTGAGAACGTACTCTTGGCCATGTGTTGGGTATATAATATCATGCTCCTCCAGATCGTGCCACACGAATCTATTCCTGTAGCTCCTGCATGGCCCCACAAAAGCAAGGAATTTAATATGTCCATGGATAAATAAGGAGGTAACATTCAAAATTAAATGGATGACAACAAAGAAATTCACCTTTCGGCAGACCATGAATGCATAGAGGCCATGCCTTTTCCATGAAGGGAATTAAAGCGGTTGATCACATCTAAATAAAACAAAGGATTATTAGTTAGTTTCACAAATAAAAATTTAACTACAGAATCAGAACATCAACATGTGAATTTAATCATGTAGAATCAGACTATATATGGAAATTTTAGTACCTCTGAGATAAAGGCCATTAGGGGAGGAAAGAGGAACTTCCATGAAATGGGGATGTTCAAGTTGGCCATTTCTGGAGATATAGTAAACAACCGGTACTTTGCGGTCAGATTTGAGCTTATGGTTAGAATAAGTTTCAGTCCGAACTTTGGTGCGTTCAGGACTTGTTTCTCCGTCTTTCCATTTCTTGCGCATTCGGAGCTCCATAATTCTCGTTGATCTCGACGTCACTGACATTGCTCTTTTGGAAAGCTTGGAGTTTTGTGAAGGGTGTGGGCTATGGAAATTGGAATGGCAGACTTTGTCGAATATAAGAAATGGCGGGGGTTCAGTATGTAACGTGCACACGTTTGGACGGTGGGAGGAGCGAGGGAGCAGATATTCAAGAATAGTATGCGGCACACAACATCTACTTTAATAAAGTACTAATTCTTAAATTGCTACTGATATTAATTTTATCAGGTGTCCCGGAAGAAAGAGCTTGTGGAGGAAGGCTTTCCCCAGTTATTATTGGGTCAAGGTTACTTTGGGCCGACTGGAACTGTGCTGGTATATTCGATTGAGATTTTTATTTATCCATACTAATTTTAAAATTTATTTACCTTCAGTACTATTGAGGTTTTAACTTATTTATAAGTCCATTTTATATAAAATAACGTATTAGGCTCTAATCTTCCATACTCTCTCCATCCCAAAACTAAAATTATAAATTAACACAAGAATATTTGGCCTCTTTCTCCTCAACTCGACCATATCTTTACGAGAATAAAGAGATTTGACATCAAGCAATTCTATTATGTTTTCTCTTTCTTTTTATTTTTTATTTTTTTCCTATGTTAAACAATGAACGAATTATCACTTTTGAACGAGGGAACATCGTTAATTTCTTTTAGCTTTTTGGAATAAATAAACAAAATAGCATTAATAGAAGCGAGTAGATTGAATTGGAAATGAGTAGTATAAATAGAAGCGAGTAGATTTGAAACACGAAAAAGAAGATATAAACAAAATGCATATATTTTTTACGTCAAGTGTAGAAACAGTTTACAAAATATCTATAATTTACATAATTGTATACCAATTGTATGTAAATTAAAGTTTTTGACCAGATTCTGTACAAAAAATGTGTATTTAAGTTGTAGATAAATTATAGATTTTGACCGAATTTGTATGTCTTTTGTAAAAAACTTTAGTTACTGTCTGTAAATATGAAAACTTAGACAAAATTGGATAAATAAGTTCAAAATTGTAACGATCCGATCGGACTTGGGCGTATGCCCTAAATTAATTTTGGAAGTCTGTAGGTTGATTTGCCGAAATTTTGCAATTTTAAGTTAAAAAGTTTGACCGTAGGTCGACTTTTAGCTATCGAGCTCGAAATTTAATTTTGGGACTTGGAATAGGTCCGTTATGGTATTTAGAACTTGTTTGCAAAATTTGGTATCGTTTGAAGTTGATTTGATAGGAATCAGACGCTTAGTTGTAATTTTAGAACTTCTTGAAAATTTCTTTGAAATCTTGCGTTTTAGAGCGCAATTCGTTGTTTAAGATGTTATATTTATGTTGTGATCGTGCGAGCAAGTTCATATGATGTTTAGACATGTGTGGATGTTTGGTTTCGAGCCCTGAGGGCTCGGGTGAGTTTCGGACGCATAGCAAAGTGTTGTTAGAACTGAGTTTGCTGGTTTTTCTGCACAGACCTCTGATCTCGCATTTGCGAGATTTTGGTTCGCATTTGCAAAGGTGGGCCAAGTATGCTGGGTTCGCATTTGCTAAGTGTACCTCGGAATGAGCTAGTTCGCATTTGTGATGCAATTGTGAAAGGTCCAGGGTTCGCAATTGTGAACATTTCATCGCAATTGTGATGATAGCAGAGATGGGAGGATCTTCGTATTTGCGAGAGATTTTTCGCATTTGCGAGGTTCGCAATTGCAAACCTAGGTCGCATTTGCGACATCTGCGACTGGTCAAATAGCTTAGTGATGGGTTTTTTTGAGTTCATTCTCTCTTTTTTGAACCCTAGACTCGGTAGGAGACAATTGGGAGAGAGAATTTTTACCTACAAACCTTGGGTAGAAATGGGAGCGTATCACCATAGATTTTGTTGTTGGGCTCCTACGGACTTCGAGAAAGTTTGATGCTATTTGGGGGATTGTCGATTAGTTGACCAAGTTTGTGCATTTCATTCCAGTTGGGGCTATTTATTCTTCGGAATGGTTGGCTGAGATTTACATCCGCGAGATTGTTCGCCTTCACAGTGTGCCAGTGTCCATCATTTCAAATCGGGGCACGTAGTTTACATTGCAGTTTTGGAGAGCAGTGCAGCGAGAGTTGGTCACATAGGTTGATTTGAGTATAGCATTTCACCCTCAGACGGACGGGTAGTTCGAGCGCACTATTCAGATATTAGAGGATATGCTACGTACTTATGTCATAGATTTAGGGGGTTTTTGGGATCAATTTCTACCGCTTGCAGAGTTTGCCTACAACCACAGCTGCCAATAGAGTATTCAGATGGCTCCGTATGAGGCTTTGTATGGGAGGCGATGTCTGTCTCTGATGGGATGGCTTGAGCCGGGTAGGGCGAGGCTATAAGGTATTGACTTAGTTTAGGATGTTTTTGACAAGGTTAAGTTAATTTAGGATCGGCTTCGCACGACACAATCTAGACAGAAGAGTTAGGCCAATTAGAAGGTTCGTGATGTTGCTTACATGGTGGGGGAGAAGGTACTGCTTAGTGTTTCATCCATGTAGGGTGTTATGAGGTTCGTGAAGAAGGGCAAGTTGAGCACTCGGTATATTGGGACTTTTGAGGTTCTTGAGAGGGTTGGAGAGGTGGCTTACAAGCTTGTATTGCCGCCTAGTCTATCGAGTGTTCATTCAGTGTTTCATGTTTTGATGCTTCGGAAGTATGTCGGCGATCCTTCTCATGTTTTGGACTTTATCACGGTTCAGTTGGATGGGGATTTGACTTATGATGTGGAGCCGGTGGCAATTTTGGATCAGCAGGTTCGAAAGTTGAGGTCAAAGAACATAGCTTTAGTGAAGCTGCAGTGGAGAGGTCAGGCAGTTGAGGAGGCTACTTGGGAGACCGATCGGGAGATGTGGAGAAGATATCCAAGCCTATTTGAGACTCTAAGTATGTTTCTAGACCCGTTCGAGGACGAATGCCTGTTTAAGAGGGGGAGGGTGTAACGACCCCGCCTGACGTTTTGAGCGTTGTAGCCTCGTTCCCCTATTTATTACTTATTTTATGCTCAATTTTTGTTATTTGACTTGCCGGGGTAGTTGGTTTGGGTCCGGGGATGTTTCGGAATGAGTTGAGACACTTAGTCTCAAGATTGGAAGCTTAAGTTAAAAAGGTTGACCAGATATTGACTTATGTGTAAATGGCTCAGGAATGGAGTTTTGATGATTCTGTAGATCCGTATGATAATTTTACACTTAGGAGTGTGTCCAGATAGTGATTTGGAGGCCCCTAGTTGATTTTGGCTTGAAATGGCAAAAGTTGGAAAATTCGAAGTTTTGAAAATTAAGAAGTTTGACCGAGAGTTGACTTTATGGTTATTGGGCTCAGATTTTGGTTCCGGAAGTTGGAATTGGTCCATTGTGTCATTTATGACTCGTGTTCAAAATTTGAGACCAATCGAACTTGATTTGATAAGTTTCGGCATCGAATGTAGAAGTTAGAAATGTACCAGATCATTAGGCTTGAATCGATGCGCAATTCGTGGTTGTAGAATGGTTTGATGTAATTTGATGCTTCGAGTGAGTTTATATGATTTTTTAGGACTGGTTTGTATGTTTGGTTGAGGTCCCGGGGGCCTCGGGTGGATTTCGGATGGCTAATGGATTGGAATCTGGACTTAGATGATAGCTGATGTTGCATGTCTGGTTTCCTTATACGCGATCGCGTAGGCTTATTTTGGACAGCTGGGATTTTGTCTTATGCAATCGCTTGGAAAAGTCCGCGATCCCGAAGCTTTGGACATCAGTGCATGGCGAACGCGTTTGTCAAGTCATATTCGCGTAGAGGAAAGGAAGGAGCTCAGAATTTCACGCGTTGTTCTATGCGAACGTGTGGGACTTTATGTGATTTTGTAGGTCTGGGAAGCCTATGCATCGCGTTCACGTGGGTGTTTATACGATTGCATAGGGTTAAGTTCTGGGGCAGCTGAGTTTCTGCTTCGCGATTGCGGAGTTTTTTCCCGCGATCGCGAAGAAGGGACATTTGGGCAGACTTAAATATTTCAAAAACGAGGGTTTAAGTTTATTTCACAATTTGATTTTGGGAGCTTAGTTTGAGGCGATTCTTGGAGAGATTTTTAAGGGAGTGATTTGGGCAAGTGATTCTAACTTGGTTTTGGTTAAATTACATGAATATATCATTGATTTAATCATTTAATTAGTGACGTTGGTTGTAAAATTTGGGAAATAAGGAGAAAACGTTAGGCTGAGTTTTAGGGATTTGAGCGGGATTTAGTGTTGGATTTGAGTAATTTTATATGGTTGGACTCGTGGTTGAATGGGTGTTTGGATTTTGTAACTTTTATCGGATTCCGAGATGTGGGCTCCGTGGTTGATTTTTGAGTTGACTTTTAGACTTTTGACTAAGATCTTAGCATTTTCATATGGAATTGATTCCTATAGCTTGATTGTGTCGAATTGTTTGTGGCTAGATTTGAGGCATTCAAAGGCCGATTCGCGAGGCAAGGGCTTGTTGGAGTAGAGATTTGCACGGTTTGAGGTAAGTAACACTTCTAAACTTGGTTCTGAGGGTATGAATCCTTGAATTATGTGTTATATGGCCAATGTTGAGGTGACGCACATGCTAAGTGACGGTCGTGTGGGTGTGCATCGTAGGAATTTTGACTTGGTCGATTCTGTGGAACTGTATAGTTGAATAACCTTGTTGTTATCCGTATATTCTCCATGTGTTAGAGAAATTGAGCTACAATTCATGTTAGAAATCATGCTTAGGCTATATGCTGGTACTGTTGGGACCCATAGAGGTCATATTGCTGTTAAATTACTTTCTTAATTTGTTAGAGTAGAGATTTGCATGGTTTGAGGTAAGTAACACTTCTAAACTTGGTTCTGAGGGTATGAATCCCTGAATTATGTGTTATATGGTCAATTTTGAGGTGACGCACATGCTAAGTGACGACTGTGTGGGCGTGCATCGTAGGAATTGTGACTTGGTCGATTCTGTGGAACTTTATTATTGAATAACCTTGTTGTTATCTGTATATTCTCCATGTGTTAGAGAAATTGAGCTACAATTCATGTTAGAAATCATGCTTAGGCTATATGCTGGTACTGTTGGGAAGCACAGAGGTCATATTGCTGTTAAATTACTTTCTTTATTTGCAATTGTGTTCT